CCGTTCCCCGCCCGCCCTCAGCCGGGCAGGCAGCCACGCCCTCCCCGGGGCCCACGCAGGCAGCAGGGCCGCGGCCATGAGCTCAGCGCCCGGGAGCCACGTACTCCTCTTCATCCGTCAGGGCCCGGCCCAGAGACTCCAGGTTGCAGTAGACGGCCTGGGCGTCGGCGTTGGGGCCTTCGTAGTTCATGTAGAAGTCACAGTCCTCAGAAGCCCTGTGAGGACAAGGCTGTGAGCCCGGGCAGAGATCCAGAGAGGGAAGGTGGCTCACTGTACCACCCAGTGCCAAGGCCGCGCCTTCCTCAGGGATTGCTCCCCCCATCCCCCAATCCTGGGGCTTGAACTCAGGGCCTGGGTGCTGTCCCTGAGCCTCTCTGTGCTCAAGGCTAGCACTCTAGCCACAGTGCCACTTCTGGTTTTTCTGTGTATGTGGTGGCGAGGAATCAAACCGAAGGCCTCATGCATGTGAGCGGAGCACTGAGTGGTAGCACTGAGCCACCTTCCCAGCCTGGGATTGTTCTTTCATGTGTGTTCTTTCATGTTGGCACTCTTAGGGCTTGAACTCGGGGCCTGGGCACTGCCGCTGAGCTTTTCTACTCAAGACTGGAGCTCTATGAGTTGAGTCACAGTGCCACTTCTGACTTTTTAGTGGTTCTTGGAGATAAGCGTCTCATGGGGACTTCCCTGCCCAGGCTGGCTTCGAACCTCAATCCTCAGATCTCAGCCTCCAGAGAAGCTGGGACTTTAGGCATGAGCCCTGGAGCGGGGCTCAGTTCTAGGCTGTGAACTCAGGGTTTAAGCTTGCTGGGCCGGACTTCACGCGAGAGTCACACCCCAGGCCACAAATGCAGGAGCTTTTAGAAAGATCAGGGCAGCTGAGTTGCCCTGGGGTTTACAATTGGAGAAACAGAGGCAAGGGTAGTGTCCTGCGCCCTCAGCTGAGCCCCGATCCCCCCGGGGGAGGCAGGAATTTACTCCCTCTCCCAACACCCCCGTCTGAGGCCTCTTCCTTCCCTAAAATGGAGATAGTGACTGAGTTTTACACCAAAGTCGTTTCAATTTCCTCTTGAAAAACTGGAAGCTGGCAATGGTGGAGGCCGGCACCCACCCAACGGAAAAGGTTTCTCTAGGTCCCCCAAAACTGTGACTTTGGGGCAATGATACAGAAATAAACCTCTTAGAGGCCTGGGGCTCAGGCCGTGACGAGGCTTTCAGGAGACAGAGAAGAGATCTGGAGTTCAGGCCAGGCAGTATGATTACAGGCAGATACTCTCTTGCAAATAAAAGAAATAAATAAGAAATAATGGGGGCTGGGAAGGTGGCTCAGTGGTAGAGCGCTTGCCTTGCATGCATGAGGCCCTGGGTTCGATTCCTCAGCACCACATAAGCCGGAAGTGGCGCTGTGGCTCCAGTGGTAGAGTGCTTGTCTTGAGCTGAAGAGCTGAGGGACAACGCCCAGGCCCTGAGTTCAAGCCCCACAACCAGGGGAAAAAACAAAGCAAAACAAAAAGAAACCCTCTAATGTGCTCTGGGCCTGGGATTAAAAAATAAATAAGTAAAAGCCAGACAGCCATTTGGAGCCCAGTGTCTCAGCACACATCTGTAACCCCAGCAACTCAGCAGGCAGAGGCAGAGGGACCCCTGGAGGCCAGGAGTTTGAAGCCACATTATGGGACCCTCTCTCTCTTAAAAAAATAAGTCACCCTGGCTGAGTGGCACCTATGAGTCATTCACACTTTAGTTTGAACTTCCCTGAACTCAGATGGTGGACAGACCTCACTGCACCTCACTGGGCGACCTTGGACAAGTCCTCTCCCTCCCTCAGCCTCCGTTTCTGCCACTAGAAATCTCAGGGAGGCCAGGCACACAAGGGACTGATCCTGGACCAGGTGGCCGAGGCTCTGGCCAGTGCTGGGGCTTGAACTCTGGGCTGAGCACTGTCCCTGAGCTTTTGTGCTCGAGGCTAGGGCTCTACCATGTGAGCCACAGCCTCATTTCTGGCTTTTTGTGGTTCACTGGAGATGAGGGTCCCAGACTTTCCTGCCCAGGCTGGCTTTGAACACGGTGCTGAGTAGCTGGGCTGGCAGGCGTGCGCCACTGGTGCCCTGCAGCTGTGTAGTCACTTCTGCTTTGGCCGAGTTTGCATCTGCTTTGCATTAACTGTCTCGTTTCTCAGAAGGGCTCAGCTTCCAGGCTCCCCGAGCCCCCACCACCATCCTTGGGGGTTGGGCTCTAGTAGCTGCCTTGGCCGGCCACGCTGTATGCTCAAAGCTGACTGGGAGGTGTAGAGTCAACCTGGGCCACAAGGGACTGGAGCAAGGTGCTGACAACCGCGGTGGCCCTCACCCCTCTTCCTGTCCAGAAAGTGGGTTTATAGGTGGTGAGGTGGAAACTGTCCCCACACGCAGGAACTTCTCCAGCCCTTACCCAGCACCCTGGGGGGAGGGGGTGTTACCCTTGGGAGGTGAGCTCAGAGAGCTACAGCTCCTCGCCCCAGGATGCACAGCGCCCAGGAAGCAGGGCGGCCCCCCTGCCCCCCTGGTTTTGTTTGAGCCAATCTCATGTGCTGTCCGGAGCAGCCGGCGCCACATGGTGACTGTACACAGAGCTGGGGTTTGAACCCCTGGCTGGCCGGGTCCGGATGTTTAGACGCGTGCGGGGTCACTCACCCGTGAGAAGTCCACTGAGGCTCCGAGGCTGCCTGGCCGATGAACACGTTCTCATAGTCAGGCGCGGACGAGGGGGGCGCGGGGCGGGGGTCCCGGCTGCTGTACCGCGGCTGTGAGCCCGGC